TCTTGGAGCCATCCTACCAGCCCTGGGCTGCTCGCCTCTGGACTACTTCTACATGAGAGAGAAAGACACTTTATGTTGTTGAAGTCATTGTTTGTTTGCATTTTCCATGACCAGCAGAGAAAGTTCAACTTTACTGGTAAAATAGATAGGGTGCTAGTCCTCATGGTGTTTATAATTTACAGTGGGGAAATAATTAATTAGCAATGGAAAGGAAAGACACTTGGAGATCAGTGCCATGAAGAAAACAGTGCTGGCTGGCTACTACAGATCAGAATCTCAAGATGTGATGGGTAAGGGGCTGCACGACAGATTTGTGAAAGATCGCTGGCCGAAGATTGTGGGGCAGATGGGTTCAGAGGGAACATTCTCCTCCTGTGTAGACAGGGCAAAGCATAGGAGATATGTCTGGTTTTAATGGTTTCCTAAGATCCATCCCTATCTGTACTCAGATTTAATTGCATAAAACATCCTCACACACAAATACCAGAGAAGAAATCTCAGCAGTGCCTGGCACCACCAACTCCCTAAGCATACTGCCTCATCCTCAGGGCAGTTACCAAGTGTTCCCCTACCTCGAGCCACAGGGAGGCCTGTCCTGTATCTGAACCAGTGACCAGAGGGGAATGCATTTGTGTTCTGTTTAATGACAGACTTTGTGGTTCACGAAACCAACCTCCACCTGCAAATCATAAATTTGAGACTAGCACAGTGAAATCATCCCACTTTAAAGCTGATTGACCTTTTGGAAAATGTTTAATAGGTACGTGGGATGAGAAAGCAGTGATTTGTGGGGGCTTTCCCACAGAGAACTTACACTCACCCATCGGAGAGGAGATTCTTCTCTTAGGGTTCTGAAATGAAGAGTCTGGCACTAGATCCAAGGCCACGGTTAGAGCAGTCAGTCTGTACTGCATCTCTCCTGACTTTGTTTTTCCTCTCCCGTATCATTTAGAATAATTCAGGGGGACTGAAAGAAAGATGCTCTCTGAATGACTGGGAATCAGCTGTGAATAAGCAGTCTTGTCCTGTGGACAAAGTGAAGCCAAATACTTTACATCTATTTCATCCACGTCAGCAAGTGTGATAGAGTTTTCTGCAGCCTGGGCTGGGGTGGGGAATTTGGATATCCTTTTTGACTCTGATACCTATCCAGTACCTTTGATTTGCCATACTTCTGTGGACCGCACTTCTTTCTTATTAAGTTTGGTTCTATCACATTTAACATCATTACCTTATGTACTAGGAAACCCTGAGGAGGTTACTGACACTGTGATGTTAAGAACCATGGAGAACTTCATGGAAGAATGGTTTGTGTCCTGGATGAGGTGTTTCATAATCTACAGGGGAGAGAACCAGTTATGAGCCAGAGTTTAGCTCTAAATTCATCCTCTGACTCACTCACCTGGTGACTGTTAGCTGCAGTGGTGATGATCCCAGCTCCACTTTCAGGAACTCTGTGCCAATGGACTATCAGAATGCTTATACTCCCTGAGCCATTTGGAAGGCCAGAGCTCTGAGTAATTGCGAACATGTGATGAGTCAATGCATCGACTCTGAAAGGAGATACAAAATAGCAGTCAAGAGTGTGGATAGTGGAGTCAACAAAGTGTGAGTTCAAGGACATGCTGTGCCCTTGTTAGCTGTCGGACCTTTGGTGAATCTCTTAACCCCTCTTCATCTGTCAAAGAAGAATGAGAAAAACAGTACCCTCTTCTGAGGGTGCTATGATAGCTAATTCCATGCATATGGAGCACTTAGCACAATACCTGAGTACCTAGTAACTACTCGATCCAGGGGAGCTTTTGTGTTGATTATTAATAATGATGATTAGGTTTGACAGCATCCAAGAAGAGGAATTAAAAAGAAAGCTCTGTACAAACAACAGAGCTGTGACAGAATGGTGTTCAGAAGAGAAGCAACACCAGCACCATCTGAAAGGTGTGGAGTGTGAAGAAAGGACTTGCAGAGTCCTCACAAGAAGGAAACTTGGAAAATAGAAATTTCTTTTTTCATGTGGCAGAAATTTTATTTTGTGAAACTAAAAGCAGCTTATGACATAGTATATCACAAAAAGCAGGTTTTTCCCCATAGATAGAGATAGATACATCTGTGCATATGAGTATAAATATAAATATGAATGTAAATATAAGCATATGGAGTCAGGCAGGATATCTACCAAAAGTAGTCGAGATGTTTTTAAAAATTATAGACTTAAAAAACTCTACAAGTCATACACAGCCAACTTCATTTTATTAACCCAGGAAAATACACATCTTAAAGAAAATAAAATTACTTCTGATCTTGGAAATTTCCTGATAGCTTTCAGAAGTGTATGTAGCAAGCAGTGTTGCTTGCATTCTGCATCCTCCCTTGGGGGAGGGAGGGACATGCGTGTCTTTTTCTTTTTCAGTAGACCTCATAGTTTTTTCTCCAGGCATCTCCCTTCAGGAAGGAGGATTGTCTCCGGCCAGAGGATCAATCCTGATTTGTTTGAGCCAGTCAAGGGATTCCTTTGGCCAATAAATTATCAGGGGTGACCATAAGGTCCACTTCTGGCCAATGAAAAATAGTGACATTGGCTGAAAGACTTCTCAGAAAGAGTTTTTCCAGAAGGTTCTGTTTCTCTTAAGCTCAGGAAAGGGTGTTTCCTTTGTCTCCGCCACCTAGGAGGCTAGGACTGTGTGACCACCACCTTGTGACTGTGACCAGAAGTGGCCTGAAGTGAGACTCCCACACCGAGGGTTGCCAGCGCCCGACACCAGATGCAGACTTGCCTGGTGTGGGCAGCACACTCGTGCCCTGCCCGGCTGAGTCTCCTGCAGTCTGCTTCATGTGAGGCTTGGTCTGGGCACCACTCGTGTGTCGTCCCACCCTACCCTTCCAGCCTTGAAATGTAAAACTCGAGTTATGCCATTATTTTTAACCCTTGTGTACCTGGGGGCAATCAAGGCAACTGTTTTCTTCAGGAGACAAATTTCCCAAGACAAGTGGCATCTTCTTGTAAGTAAATACCGAGTAGAAAGAAGGAAGTATTCACTGCCTGAACCTGGATCCTGGATCCTGAACCTGGACCTTTCTCTGAATTGTCACTCAGTAGCCAGGAACTTTCCATTCTCTCGGCTGCAGAATCATCATCTTTAAAATAATGTTAATAATACTGAACTGTTCCCCTTTGCAGCAAAGGATCGGTAAGATCCTGTATACTGATACTTCTAAAATGCTACAAGAACACAAAACATCAGTGATACCATTAGCAACGATGAGCTCTCATCTTGGGTCTGTAGCACAGAAGGAAACATACTGTTAACAGTTCTGAGTTCTTTGAGTTTTTAAAAACTGTCTGGGATTCAACAGAGGAGAAATTCTGATTTTTATTTCAGGGTAACATAACAAGAAAAGCCCAGAGGGTGCAGTTTATCCCTTTTTCTTTTGGAAGTATTAAGCCAGGTAAAGTCCAATCAAAAGAACTTATTCATCCTCTTTCAAAACCAAAGTAACCTCTCTAGTGTCTTTGTTCCCGGCTTAATTAGCGAGATGGAAAAGTTCCAATGCCATTTTCTCGGCTGAGAAACAGAACACTCTGGTGTGGAAATGCCAGAGTGGTACTGACTTTCAGGACTCTGGAGGGCCAGTCTCCAGGACAGACTTCACAAGGACAGTGTCTCTTGGAGTTTCAGATCCAGATCCAGGAGAGTAGAACAAACTGTGACTTCTGCCTAAAAGACAAGCCTTGGCACATCTGTGGGGGCCGCGTCTCCCTCTGCCTTGGGGTTTACCATTTTCTTCTGCGGGGACCATGGCGAGACATCCATGAGACTAGCAGCTTTCTAAGGTTTGTTCTTTGAACCGGACTTTTGCAATCCTATTTAGAAACTAGGGTTTGAGGTCTCAAGGTCTCATCAACAACTGTGACACAACAAACCAGTCCCCAAATGAATTAAGCCAGAAAGCAACAATATGATGGTATGGCAAATGACTTTCATTTTTCCCTTCCTGCATGTTACTTAGGGCATATTAATTTATCTGTTTGTGTTACATGCTGGTAGGTCATATATGCCGTGAGTTTTATATCAGAATAGTAAAGAAGGCATTGCAGAATAAAATGCTGATGATCACTAAGTTTGCACAAATGGAGAACTCCTTTGTGGTTCAGTTTTAGAAACAGTTGATTTAGGGTTGTGTGAATGTAAGTTTTCCTTTCAGAAAGCACTTGTCAGTGCCAGCTCCCCCAGCTCAAAAGTACTGGAAGCAGAGAAAATTCATTTACTAGCAAATAATGTAATGAGTCAACAGAGAGCTGGTACATTAAGAGAACAATTATGTATATTTATGGGTAATTAATCTATTTCACGATCATAGTCCTGACTATAAATTCATATTCGCCACATATAACAATTTCTCCTTCCAGGTTACTTTTGTATAGGAGGTTTTTTTTTTTTTAATTTTTCATTTTTTTGGTACCGGGGATCAAACTCGGGTCCTTGTGCTTGCGCAGCAGGCAGCGAAACCACTGAGCTAAATCCCCGGCCCTAGGAGGTTTATTTTTTAAATGGTGTTTCCTGTTTGCCAATTTTTTAGAGCTGAAATCTACATGCGCATTTATGTAGAATGTGGAGCTAGTTTTAAGTGGCAAATAAGTGAAGTTGCGACCCAAGTCTACCCTGTGTATTTACACGATCTGGGAGCGTTCTATGCGTGAGTTGATAGCTCACTTTTTCTAGGACTTGAACCCTGAGATAACCAGAGTTGACTGAGCAATGCTTTTACATACAAAGAAAGCCAGAAAGCAATTCCTGAGCTGACACTGGAAGGGAGAACTGTTGTTTTGGTATGATGCAACAAGCTAGTAAACTCTGTAGGAGCATGTGCATGGGAAAGTTTATTCCTAGTGACTTGGAATTCCCAAAATTGAGTTAAACTGTAAATATAGTATCTTAAAAGCATAATTTATTATGACATTCTTATTTAGGCTCACTATAAAACAAATTACTTACAAAATAATCTTGGAACATGGAACACAAAGAATGAGCTAAACGTCAGGTGAAGTTAAAGGTATTGTCCAGAGTCTGTTCCCTGGTGGAGCAGAAAGCTGAAACAAGAGAAAAGTTCTTGGTTAAGAGACTGTAACAAGTGATGGGCAGAACACCCAGCTCAAGCCAAGATCTGTCCACTGACCCTACATGGGAAGGGACAGGTCATAAAGAGGCAACTCGTGTTCCCATTCAGCTTCCTGTTCTCGTAGCAGCATGCCTACAGATGACCTGGGCACTCCTTCCTGTTAAAGGAGATACCCTGAGATCCTTCTCATCTCAGTGCTCCAAGGTGCTATTACCAACTTATTCTTAACACGTAAGCTTTCTACTCACACAGAATGTCAGCACACACGTGACCCCAGAGTATAAAGGAGCTAGGCTCAGTCTGGAGACGTGCAGGGCATTGTTTGTGAATTACAAAGCTCAAAAACTGGAAGGCATTGCAGGCAGTCAGCTTGTCCATCTTAAGATAAGTGCTCTTTTAGACCAGAACAAGTAGAAAGGGTTAAGAGATATATTTAGTATATACCACTAATAAATGGCTTTAGAGAGAGAGGAAGCCAGAAAAGAAGAGAGACAAAAGACAAAAACAGACACACTCACAAGCATGCACACAAGCATGGATGATCTTTAAGCCTGTGGCCACTCAACTTGACAGGGGCAAAAATAAAAAAAAGTTCAAAATCATTTTTCAAGGAAAATAATTTGTCAGTGTTGAATACAGGCACAATATAATGATGCCTTTGATTTGCAAGGTATGATTGCCTAATCTATCATTTTGTATGCAGAAACATTTTTCTCATTTTTTGTTTAATGTCTGCATTTCGTGAAAATGTAGTGCAGCTATCCAGCTTGTTGGTAATAATATCTTATCGCTTGGGTCTTTATTGAGAACTTTCACCTTAACCCATCTTTGTTTAAGAGCACCATAAATACTGTAGTGAGAAAAATCTCAGGGATGCTCACTAGGGAATGTGACCGTAAAATGAGAAACACCTCCTTTGCATTTCTCTATGGGGAGAAAGCCATCTCAGAACAACCTTACCTTTGTGATGTCTCCCCTTGGCTCTTCTTATTCAACTCCCGAGGTAAATGGACAGTGTTTTTGTATTCCCTTCAACTTGGCTGGCTGTGGAGGAAGTCAGTTTCAAAGTTGAGGGTAATTTAGTCTTTCAGGGGAAAGGCAGTGGAGGATCAAAAAGAGCCTGGGAGCTTCTTGGGAGCAAATAGAAAATGCCAGGAGTCTGTCTCCCCTTGGACAGATCTATGGCTGCTGTCCAGCACATTTTAAGATTAACCCCTATCATCTGGACCTGGTGAAATCAGATTAATGTCACGAGGGGGCAGCCTGGGCTGGACGTTGGGAATACAGATCTCACCTTTGACTGGGATGTGGATAAAAACCGAGTCATTCGACAGACCCTGGAAGATTTGCATGAGTTGGGGGTGGAGTCTAAGAGCTCAGGTGAAAGAGACCACAGTCACCTCCCACCTTAACTTGGGAATCTTCTGGCTTTTGTTAGCTGGGAAGAAAGCAAGTAGGAGGATGCAGAGCTTGTCTGCAGCTGCGACCTGCATTCAGGGATGGCGGATATGGGGTTACCTTTGAGAGCTCGCTGGCATAAGCAGCTCATTTGTCTGCCACTGTTTAGTTCCCACTTGATTGTGTGGCCTCAGAAGCTTGCTTTCATCGAAGCACGCTTGGAGCGATCATTTACCATCTCCTCTCCTTCTGAGCAAAACATTTAGATGATTTACTGCCACAGAAGGTGGGAGGACTAAGATTAATTATCAAGTGCACTCTGCTGAAATAGGAGTGCAGATCTGGCTGACGTCCAGGACGGGAGTGGCCAGTGTCCTGACTTCTAACTGAAGGGTCACAAATGGATAGGGGTGAGTTTCAGGGGCCTATAATTCACTCCTGGTCTTGACTCACCCCTTGGTTCTCCTGTTGATTAATTCTTCATTGTTGATTTGTTCACTCAACAGCCAAAGATTACTCTCTTTTTATTCTGAGCATGGCCTTGGGTCTTAAAGACCTTACTGTCTGCAGAGAGGAGGCGGGGAAGTCTCCGTGTTATGTTGGCCGCTTACATTCCGTTCTCCGTACAGAGTCAACTCTGTAAGAGCAGAAATCCGATCACTTGCTGCCGTACGCCCTCCCTCGACCGGCTCCTGGTCTCATGTGCAGCATCTGCTCCTCGCCCTGGCTTTTTGGCTATAGGAACGAGGTTCCCTGGCCTGGCCCAGACCTGTCTTCCTCACTGCGCAGAGTGCTGGCTGTGATCTTTCTCTCTTCCTGGCATGTCCTCCTGCCCAAGGCCTTTGCATTGGATCCCCTGCGTTTCAGCTCTTTTGTTTCACTGTCTGGCACAGTTGGCTCCTTTTTGTCTCCTTGAGCTCAGCGTCATCTCCGCAGCAGGCTTTCCCGAGACCCGAGCGATGTTCTGTGGTGACACCGAGCCCCGTTCACTTCCTGTGTCAGGTGCCCTGTGGTTTGTTTACTTGTCTTCCTCCCCCACTTCAGTGCTCACACCTGCCGAGTGATGGCCTTGTTCCTATGGCCTCCTCACTCAGTGCCCGGCACCCAGAAGTATTTGTTAAACACACACCGAGTTAATGAGCCCTAGGTACACGTCCACATTTCTCCTGATGGTTTTACAATGCAGGATCCCACTGTGGGAGACTCTGATCTCGGAAATTAGATGAGTCTCAGGCATCTCGGCTTTTCACCCACAAATGATTTGGAGACACATTAGTCTAATCAATCATCTCTAAACCTTTGGGATCGCCCCTGGAAAGTTTTAAGAATGGAATATGGTATTTATTTACAAATTATGTACAGATATCGTCATATTATAAAAATCCTAAAAAGGATGAGGAGTACAAAAAGATATATTTCTTATTTATCAATAGTAACATAAGGCTTGTATTCTTAAGTAGATTAATAACAGCCCATATGTTTGGTTTTGAAATATTATTGCTGGTTATATTTTCATACCATTATCAACATCTCAAGGCTCAATGTATATGATGGGTAAGGGTAATTCTGAACAGTAAAATAAGTTAAAATGACTTTCTCGTTATTTACTCTTCTTACCTTTGCATCGTCAAGGCCGGTCTAATTTTGGTATCATTTGTTATAGAATTATCAATGTAAAGTATGAGAAATGACTGTTCCATCTTTCCCTTGTGACTGCCTCTGCAGTTATTTCTGGGCATTATCTTACAAGTCCATCATTCGCTTTGGCAGGGTTAATTTCATTGTCAGAAACAGTTACAAGCTGACTTAAGAAGATGCACATATGCCATAGTTAGCAGCCGGTGAAAGGTGTGGGGCTCCAGGCGGGGAGCTTACGGGGACCAGCGGACCCTAGGCCGGTGTGACTGGGGGTGGTGGTTTAGATCTACAGAGCCCCAGTCTGCTGGGTTTGGAGGTGACTGGGTTCCGGCTGCTGCACTCTGCAGTGGTATGTCAGCCTTAAGAGGAGGGCACTGGTTGCAGAGAGTCACAGAGGGGACTGGAAAAGTGCATTCTTGTCCCTCTTTCCTCCCCTCTCTGTTTCTGGCAGCTCCCTCTGCCATACCCTTCAGCCATGATGTTCCTGTTTTGGAGCCTTCTGTCGATGACGTCCCCAAACCTCTGACACTGTGAGCCAAAGTAAATCTCTCCTTTACGTCACAGTCGTCATGTACTTTTTGTTCCCCTCTTGGGAAAGTGACTCGTGTGAGGGGATGCCATGGTGAACGAGTGCGTCAGTGTTAACAAACTTCAGTTTTTAAGATGGAAATACCAAGATGATGGGGAGTAATACAAGGTGAATCTGGAGAAGATGGCAAAGCATTTTAGATAAGAATAGAGATATTTGCCTTATCCTAAGTGCAAGGGAAATCATTGAATGGTTTATACAGATAGATTATGTTCTGTTTTTGGAGTGCTGCTCTTTATTTCTTTTAACTAAAGTATAGTTGACAAATAAAGATGATGTACATTGCTAATATGCAATGTGATGTTTCATATGTGTATATGCTATAAAATGGTTGTCAAGTCAATCAACATTTCCATTACCTCATACACTTTTTTTGTTGTAAAAACAATTCAGACCTCCTCTCTTAGCAACTTTCAAGCACACAGTACATGATTATAGTGATACCTCAGTTCAAGAACCTAATTCTTTCCACAATTCTGGGCACAAACCGAATTGGATTGGAGCAGAATCAAATTTCCCCATAAGGTCAACGGTGAACCTAACCATTGAATTTGATTTGGTTCTCATCCAATTTGGTTTTTGACCAGAATGATGGAAAGAATTAAGTTTGTGAACTGAGGTACCACTGTATTTGTTATATTCACAGGTGAGATCTCCTAAACTTGACAGACCTGTGCTTTTACAGGATAGTTTGTGTTGTCATGTGTAGGGTGTTCTGCAGCAATGGGATGTGAGCCAAAGCCCAGGTAGGAGAGCACTGCAGTGCCTTGGAGAATGGAAACGGGTGGACACAAATGCATCCTGGAAGTCAAATCAGTGGGTTAGTTATCCTAGACACAGTGTGGGGTAACAGAAAGGGAGGAATCTTGGTCGATCTATGGTTGCCAGCTTCTGCACGAGACACCATTCCTTAGGGTTCAAATGTGGCCACTTTCAGAATCAGCCCCAAAGCCAGCTCATTGGAATCACCTGCTGCTACATAGAGTTTGACTTTTTGCCTGTGTTGGCAAAAATCTCAATTACGTCAGAAAGTTCTTGGGCTTGACTTAGAGACTCTTTCAAGTATTCTGACGTCTTTTCTTGAAAGTGAGTGGAGAACTTACCAAGGCGGTATTTCACGAAATTTTTAGTTTTTCTCCCAATGGCGTAAGATTCTCAACATAAATGTATGACCTAAATGAAAACAGGAACAACAAAAAATGAAAGAATGGAAACATTGGTGACATCATCTCCTTTTAGAAGGGAACAGAGAGCAAATGCGTTGTCTTGAATAACAGAAGTACAAATTTAAAAACTCAAGAATAACTAATTTCCTATATGGACCACTTATTAGATCCTGTAGCCAAATACACCTTGAACACATCTTCTAAAAATACAGTCTTGGCCCGGGCATTTAGCTCAGTGGCCTAGCGCCTGCCTGGCAAGCACAATGTCCTGAGTTCGATCCCCGGTACCAACAAAACAAAACAAAACAAAACAAAAATAAATAAAAATACAGAGTCTTGACAATGACTTGCCTGCAACACAGTTGAAAGCGCTGGCAGCAGGGAGTTCTCTGGGCTAAGACTCAGGCGGTGTTTGAGTGCCATCTTGCAAAGCGCAATGTCTTTCCACACTTTGGATTAAAATGAGCTCCTTATTCAGCCTAACAATCCGGTGCTGCCTAGGTCCTCTTCCAGGAGCTGGAGTTTTGCATGTGAACAGTTAGTCATTAGTCTTCCTTCTGTGTCCCTACATCTGGTCTTCATATTGTTCAAAGTAAGTGACATCACAGGGACTGTTAATACCAGTGGTAGTACACTGGTTTCTGATGATTTTAAATGCTTTCTGAAGTCCTCTATTCTTCCCCCAAAAGTATTAACTTGAAATCAAAATTATTAATAGTTTGAGTATTGCCAGCAGGAATTTTAGTGTTCTGTTTGTCTTTATAAAAACAGTTTTTAATAGCATTATTTATAAGATGCTGTCAGTGGGCCATATTTTTTGGGCATAGACTTCATAAAGATTGCATAACCATTTTTTTCTTCCAAAGGAAGGTTTTAATCAGGAATTTTCTCTTGTATTTCTTTTAACTTAAGGACTTACTAAACAGTATCTAGCCCCTGACATCTGTTGGGTCCTTGGAAACCGTTCTTCCTATTGTTCTGTTTCTACCACATCACTGCCTCTCCTCCTTTCCTCTTGCTCCCCTTCTGTCCACTACTCTGCCAGCATCGCTGTCTCCAGCCCTTCCTCCTGTTCTTTGAGACACAGCTGATCCCTGGGGTCCTTTATGTGTCCCAACAAGGACATATACCTGATGACAGTACAATTAATTCAGAAACCAGAAACAGCAATATTGGTAAAATGGGCTCATTCAGGTAAAGGACCGGAGTGGAGATTCTGACTCCCAGTTCATCTCCATTTTATTCATTCTGAGTCTATGTGCCAGATGCGTGGTACTAGGAATACGGAGCTTGAGGCCAAGGAGAGGCAGTTAAAAATGACATGCATAACAGTTTAACTGCAGCTGCGGAACATGTTCTTGTAGAAAAGTTCAGGGTCGCATGGGACCATGTAACAGAGGGACCAGGCTACCGAGTCTGAGTGCTGAGGGTGAGCTTCCAGGGGAGCAGATAGTCAGGAGGATGGAGGAGAGAGGGCTGCGGAGGCAGTAGGCAGAGCCACATGATCTGGGAAGAGGCCAGTGATGGGAAAGGCCAGGGTGGCTCAGGATGAGGAGTCCAGGACAAGTGGGCAGCAGGAGCCAGGGAGAAGTCAGGTGGAGCAGGAGGGTGAGACTCATCGCAAAGATTTGGACCTTAATCCCAAGATCCTCGGGAGACCATTAAACCAGAGAAGGATAGCATCTTGTGCCTCTCAGCATTTTCTCTCCTCTTAAAACTCCTTGGCCTTGATGTTTGGCCAATTTCTGCAGTGGATTTGGCAGCTGGGGGAGTGGAGATCAGTACCTGGGATTAGGGTGTTAACTGGAATTAGAGTTTATATATATACTCACAACCACAGCCAGAAAAGCACACTGACAGCACAGTGCCACGG